GGGGTCTGCTCCCATTTTCTTTCTCCTTAACCCTGTTCTGCCCCCTCCGGCAGTGCTATCTCCATTCCTAGGTTTCTACCAATCACATCCTTGCACTGTGATTTAGGGACACATCCTCCTGAGCTGAGGCGAGAGCCCTGCACTCGCTGCCATATGTTTATTAGTTATGAACTGAAAAGGGGAAGGCTTGACTTCCTGGGTCATGGAAGAGAAGGAGTCTGGGTGACAGGAAGCAAGCAGCCTTTCAAGCCTATTGCTTAGCTGCCAGATTAACCTTGTCTTGAAAACAACGTGATAGCCCTGTGTGCTAGTCAGTGTAAGGAAGACAAAAATTCTTTGGAAACCTACCCAGTGGGTTTATCTTCCAGACTTGATAGACACAAAAGGCAAAGGGGGAACATGGGAAAAGGAAGGTGGGTTTGTGCATGAAAATCTGACCAAATCTTTATATGGATCTTAAAATTATCACCACCATTCCTTAAATCAAAAAAATCTCAGCAAACTACGTAACCTGCTGGGGCTCATTCTTTTGTTCTGCTGGGGTTGGTCTTTTGTATTTTAATGTGTGAGGTTTCATTTCTATTAAAAAAAACCCAGGTTTTTATTATGGATGGGAGTCTTATTTTTTTTTCCTTTGAGCAAGAATTTTCAGTAAAAGGCTTTGTGTAGCTGATAATTGATTCTAGCATAACAATTGCTCTGCCCCCATTAATTGTAGCATGCATGGCAGCTTATTCTAATACTGTCTTAAAACATTGGCTTTGTATTATATAAGACAAAAGCAATTTGCTTCATAATTATTTTAAGCATGGGTACTTACTTGGGAATAGATGATTAATTAGAACCTTAGTTTTAGATTTTCTGATTGTTCTGCTTAGCAATGCCCCTTTTATTCCCCTTAAAAATCATTTTCCAGATTTGATGAAAAAGAAAATGTGTCCAACTGCATCCAGTTGAAAACCTCCGTTATTAAGGGTATTAAAAATCAATTGATAGAGCAGTTTCCAGGTATTGAACCATGGCTTAATCAAATCATGCCTAAGAAAGATCCTGTGAAAATTGTCCGATGGTAAGTCCTTGTTTTTCTCCATGTAAAGATTTGAGTAGCTGAATATCATGTTAGATTGTTCTCATTGTAAATGGAAACTATTTTCACATTAGCTGTAGATAATCTAATGATGAGAATAGACAGAATTAATTCTAAACTTGCCAATATTTCTATCTTCAAATATTATCTAAATATATGAAAAATATGTATTTTTTATCAAAGACTTGTTTTTATTTATAATTGGAATTATTTCAGCTTGCTCTTGAGATTTATTTTCACTTGACAATGTAATTATAATAATAAAATGTGGAATGAAATTGGCTGTTGCAGGTCATATTTCCTCTCTGTCCTCTTTAGTTTTCTCTACTGGACAGGTATTTTTTTTATCAGGATCTTTACTGGATTAATAAACATAATGTGTCTGTGTATGTGATTATTTCATGTTATAATTTTAATTGGATGACTTACATTCATTTTTGAAGGAAAATATCTAACTTGGTATTTGTTGACATTTCTCTTGCAGCCATGAACACATAGAAATCCTTACAGTAAATGGGGAGTTACTGTTTTTTAGACAAAGAGAAGGGCCCTTTTATCCAACCCTAAGATTACTTCATAAATGTAAGTCTTGTTAGAAATATGCATTTGGGAATATAAAAATACATAAAAGGAATTGAAAACCATAGGAATGGAAAGTGACTTCTGATAGTTTGTTATTTATTAGTGATAAGTAATAAGGAATATAAAAGTAAAGTGGATCTTAATCTTGTGGTAAGTCTGAAAAATGCAAATTCTCTTATTATTACAGAAAGCCCTCCCCCTACAGAAAATCATCCATTAGTTCATCCATTCAATAAAAGTCTGGTGTGGTGGCTCACAGATGTAATCACAGAGCTTGGGAAGCTGAGACAGGAGATTGACACAATTTTGAGGCCAGTCTGGGCTACCAGGTGATACCCTGCCCCCACACGAAAAAAGACCCCAGAAATATTAATTCAGTAATTATTTAGTGAACTTTTATATGGTTGGCACTAGGGGCTAGCTACTAAGAAGTGCAGTTGTAAGCAAGACAGACATAGTCTGTCCTTATTGTAGTTGGAAGAACAGACCAGTATGTAATTGTAAACATATATATTCATAAACTGATAAGGGCTTTGAAGATTTTTGTTTTAAGTTTGTTAGTAGAGTTCCCTAATAGAGATAATTCTGTGTATGAAAAAGCCTTGGGTAAATGTGGAAGACCCACTTATTCTGATTGAGTTCATGAACAGATGTCATGAAATCAAATAATCTTTATTTCATGCATACATTTACTAATTGCTAGATGACTATATTACAAAAAAATTGAAGGAAGGTATAATTGAATGAGCAAGAACTTTTCAAATGGGAACTAAGTTTTCTGCTTTTTAGTTTGGTATTGTTGTCAAGAGGCAGAAGGAAAGGTAGTGACAGGCTCTATTGATGCTGGATAGTGGTGATTGAATTGTTCTTGTAAAAACAGATTCATTCAATCACAAGGAGATACATTGTTAGTTTCTTGGTATTCCAGAGGTCAGGAGTAGCAAAACTGTTTGGTAAATCTTTAAGCACATGAAATATTTTAATATTTATAAAGCTAATTATAGCCGGGCATTGGTGGTGCACACCTTTAATCCCAGCACTTGGGAGGCAGAGGCAGGTGGATCTCTGTGAGTTCAAGGCCAGCCTGGTCTCTAGGGCGAGTGCCAGGATAGGCTCCAAAGCTACACAGAGAAACCCTGTCTCGAAAAACCAAAAAAAAAATTACAAAAAGAATGAACATATGCACATAAATGTAGGAATTCACAGGAATAGGAAACTAATTCTATATGCTTTGCCAGACCCATAATATCAAGTGTCTATTGTTTACTGTCATACAGAATAAATTTAGTGCTTTAAATAGCCCCTGTAGTCTACCTAGAGGAGTCCTAGGAACCACTGACTTTTTTTTGAAACAATGTTTCTCGGTGTTGTAGCCCTAGCTGTCCTACCCAACATATTGCACATCCCTCCATTTTCTTTTTTGTTTTGTTTTGTTTTTCGAGACAGGGTTTCTCTGTGGCTTTGGAGGCTGTCCTGGAACTAGCTCTTGTAGACCAGGCTGGTCTCAAACTCACAGAGATCCGCCTCTCTCTGCCTCCCGAGTGCTGGGATTAAGGCATTTGCCACCACTGCATGGCTCTACCTCCATTTTCTTTAGGACAGACTCAGAAGGAGAGTTCCTGGGTCAAAGGGTCTTTTCAAGGCTTTTAATGCATGCTGCTAAGTCATTCCAAAGGAAGCTTATACTCATTTGCAAGCTTTGTAGCAGTCTATTAGGATGTGTATTCCTATACTCTTTTCTTGGAAATATTCATCAACTTTGTCAGTAAAGGACAGTGGTTTGGCTTTTATTTTGCAACCATAAGAGTACTATAATTTTGGAAAATACTTGTTTATGTTCTTTGCCATTATCTTGAGTTTTCAGTCATGTTAATTTATACAATTTATTTCTTCTCTTGTAGATCCTTTTATCTTGCCACATCAGCAGGTTGATAAAGGAGCCATCAAATTTGTCCTCAGTGGAGCAAATATCATGTGTCCTGGCTTAACTTCTCCTGGAGCTAAGCTTTATCCTGCTGCCGTAGATACTATTGTTGTATCCTTCCCAGGATTTAACCACTGAAAATTGTTCTTTGTATTCTTGCCATTACTGAAAGAGGAAAGAATATTACATGTGCTTTTAATTTTTATTAGTATTTTCTCAGAAATAGGAGTCTCACTCTGTAGCCAAGGCTAGTCTTGAGCTTGTGATTCTGCCGCCTAAGTCTCCCAACTGCTGGGATTACAGGCATGTGTTATCATACCCTTTTGAAGGAGACTTTTAATTTTGGCTAAAGAGAAATGGGAGATAAACTCAGATCAACCAACCCTGAATTTTTTTTCTTTCTTTTTTTTTTTTTTTTTGCAGCATGGTCTTATTATGCTGTCTTGGCTGGACCTGGAGCTCAGTATGTGGTCCAGGCTGGTTTAGAACTCACCCTGTATCCCAAGTTGGTCTCAGAGTGATGGGACTTCTCCTACCTCTGCTTCCTGAATGTTGGGATTATAGGATTATAGGATGGACTAAAGGAGGCATATTCTTGGCCATGAAAAGAAGTGAGAGATAAACTTGGAATCAAGCAACCTTTTTATTTCTTTTTTTTGTCCTTTTTGAGAAGGTGTCTCATGTAGCCCACGGTGGTCTCAAGGATGCGCTAGACCTCATACTCCTGCCTCTACCTTCCAGGTTCTCTAGTTATAGGCATGTGCCATCATTCTTGTTCCCCCTCCCACATTTTTGTTTTTTTTTTTTTTTGAGACAGCGTTTCTTTTTGTAACCTTGGCTGTCCTGGAACTCGCTTTGTACACCAGGCTGGCCTCAAACTCGCAGAGATCCACTTGCTTCTCCGCCTCCGGTGCCGTCACCATCCCTGAGTTGGCTCCCCCTTTTCAATCTTTTTTTTCCAGATAAGTTTTTTAAAGCAATTTTACATGTGTATGCAATGTCTTATAATCACACCCCCTCCTCTTATGCCCACTACATTCTCTGTATTTTTTTGAGACAGAGTCTTACTATGTAGCCTTGGCTGGCCTAGAGCTTGTTATATAGATCAGGCTGACCTCGAACTCAACAAAGATCTGCCTGTCTTTGCCTTCTGAGTGTTGGGGTTGAAGGTATGTGCCACAATACCCAGTTTTCTTTTGTTTTTGGTTTTCCTTTTTTTTTTTGAGACAGGTTCTGACTGGCTTAGATTTTACTATGTAGCCCAGGCTATCCTTGACATTGTTATACTCTTGCATCTGCCTCTTGACTGCTGGGATTATAGATGTTTACCACTATTCCCAGTTCCCTTCTTTTATGAAAGTCTAAAACTGGCCTTCACTTTACTATGTAGCCAACACTAGTCTTGAACTCCTTGTTCGTGGGTTGTGAGATTACTGGCATATACTATCATGCCTGATTTCTTTTTTAACTTCATTTTTGAGACAGGGTTTCTCTGAGTAACAGCCCTGGCTGTCCTGGAACTAGCTCTCTAGATGAGACTGGCCTCGAACTCAGAGAGATCCACTTGCCTCTGCTTCCCCGAGTGCTGGGATTAAAGGTTTTCAATACCACCTCCCGGATCTTTTTTATTTCTTTAAAAAAAATTTCTATTGTTTGTGTGTATGTGTAGGTAAGAGAACGACTTTCAGGAGTCAATTCTCTTTCTACTATAGGATCTTGGGCTAGAAATCAGCTCATCAGGTCTATATCTTAAGCACTTCTACGGTCTGAACCATTTTGCCCTCCCTTTTTATTTCTTGATTACAAATTATGTTTCATTTTATGTGGATTCATAGAAGATAACTGAAAAGTTATGAAGGAGTTCCAGGGCCATTGCAGCCTGTTTATGACCCATGATCACACTTGGGATGCATTCTGAAACTTGATTATCAATGGGTTATAGGAGATTGGGTTGTATTCCTCTTTTGCACGTGACCTTGTCACTTTAACATTTAATTTGACTATCCAGATATAGTGGAGTAAAAGCATTCAAGAAGGAACTGAATTGAGGCAGCAGGTATAGTTTCTCACATCTCAAATAACAACTCTGTATTAGGAGAAATATTAGAAGTCCTCAATATTTATTATTTTTTTATTTTTGGGGGGGGTTTTCAAAACAGGGTTTCTCTGTGTAGCTTTGGAGCCTATCCTGACATTCGCTCTGGAGACCAGGCTGGCCTCGAACTCACAGCGATCCGCCTGCCTCTGCCTCTTGAGTGCTGGGATTAAAGGTGTGCACCACCAACGCCCCGCTCAATATTTATTTTTAAAATTCACTTTGTGTGTGTGAGAGAGAGAGGTGGTGGCAGTTATCTTGTGCTGTGTAGCCTGGATTAGCCTGGAACTTGAGAGGTAGCCCAGGGTGGCCTTGAATCTTCCTGTCTCAGCGTCCCAGTGCTGGGCTTACAAGTATCCATTACTACACCCAGCCTAAAAAATTGAAGATTTGTTTGGACCTGAGAACATATTTTCTCTATGAAAAATGTGTATTTTTGTATTTAAAAATAACCTTGGCCAGGCAGTGGTGGTGCACACCTTTAGTCCCAGCACTCGGGAGGCAGAGGCAGGTGGATCTCTGTGAGTTTGAGACCAACCTGGTCTATAAGAGCTAGTTCCAGGACAGCCTGCGAAGCCAGAGAAACCCTGTTCCAACCCCCGCCCCCAAATCTTGATATGTAGCACAGCTGGCCTTGAACTCACTGTTATTCTCCTAGTTCAGCTTTCCCAAGTACTAGGATTATAGGTGAGTATCACCACTCATTACACACACACAGAGAGGGGGAGATGTTTTAAGATTTTTAATATATCCTACTTGAAAATATTTAAATAGAATTTTTTGAGAAAATGTCTAGTCTTGAATTCTTGGTGATCTGCCTGTATCAGCTCTCAAGTTCTCAAGTGTTGGATCACAGGCATGAACGATGTCTGGCTAGGGCTTTTGTTTGTTATTTTAAGACAGGGTCTCTCTTATGTAGTCCTGGGTGTCCTGGAATTTATATGTGCTTACCTCATGGAGATCCACCTGCCTCTGCCTCCTGAACGCTGGGATTGAAGGCATGCACCACCACTCCTGACTAAGGATGAATTTTTAAATATAGCTCATTTGGAAGGACTATATGGCCACCAGACTGAATGTCTTAGTTTGTGTTCCTACAGGTCTCATTAGAAAAGAAGGTGGCAGATATTAATAATGAATGTAATAGGTCAAATAAATGCATTTAGAGACACTGCAGTGTAGCTTCAAACAAGGATCTAGTGAGACCTTCTTAAGAAATAACCACAGGCCAGATGATGGTGGCTCATGCCTTTAATCCCAGCACTCAGGGAAGCAGAGGCAGGCGGATCTCTATGAGTTTGAGGCAGCCTGGTCTAAAGAGAGAGTTCCTGGACAGCCAGGGCTAGACAGAGAAACCCTGTTTCAAAAAAACCAACCCCCCCCCAAAAAAAAAGAAGAAGAAGAAGAAAAAAGAAATAACCACAGGAACAAAAAAGCAATATAACCTATTTAACTTTTTTTCAAGAAAGGCACATGGATCTGTAAGTAGTGGTGTACACCTGTATTCCCACCACCTGAGAAGCTGAGACAGGACAAGTGCCATGAGTTCAAAGCCAGGCTGGAGTACATGAGAATTTGTTTAAAGGTTATATTTATGCCATGAATAGGACTAAGTGATTCTGCATCATTTCCATTTTGCAGCTATATTAGCTGTTAAATAAGTTTTTGTCCATTAGGACAGGATTCCATCTTCTGCTTTGTCATAGACAGAGTAGTCACTTGCCTCGGGGTGAGAACAGGAACAAGGAAGTCACTGTGGAGTGTCGGAACACATTTAAAGATGTGTCTCAACGGGATATGGTAACTTACACTTGGAATCCCAGCATTTGGAAGGCTGAGGCAGGAAAATTGCCATTGGTTTGAGGCCAGCCTCAAAAACAAAAATAAAAACATAAACAAAAATACCACAGTATAGTGGTAGGTACATGCTTTTAGCACTCATGAGGATCTTTGTGAATTTGAGACCATCCTGGTCTACATAGTACCATATTAGCCCGGGCTACATAGTGTGACCCAATCTTTAAAAAAAAAAAGTGCATTGTGTGCCTTGTGCTCAAGAGAAGGCTTTCTCTTTTGTGGCATTTATACCTAAAGGATAGAATAAGTTGTGTATGTGTTAGACACACATTGTATTGACATAGATACTAGTCACATACTAGGTGCTCAGATATTTGTGCTACACTGAATGGACCACTGGAAAAGCCAGTGGAGAGAAGTATTCTATGAGGATCTGGTTACCTTTTTGTTTATAGATTTAAAAAGTGGTATGTTTTCAGTTCTGGAATTTTCCTTGACTGGAAGATTTCCTAGTACCTAAACTTTACCATCACCCTCTACCCCCTTTTGGAGATGCAGTTTTACTCATTTGAAATAATAGATTTACAGGAATTGCAAAAATAGAGATTCTGTGTATATTTGAACTCAAAACAAACACTGCAGCATAAATCAGAAACTTAAAAGGATAACCAAAATCATTGTTTCTGTTGTATATAGGTTGAAGCTGTTACAAGGGGCTCTTCAAAAACACAATGGAAATGTATATTTTTGAGACAGTCTTGTTATGTAACATAGAGCTGACCTTAAACTAGCTACGTAGCTCAGGCTCAGACTCTCCTGAAATTTACAGTTTTCCTTCCCTAACTTTCTGAGTGGCAATTATCAGCTTGTATCTTGCCCAGCTGAAATATAAATATTATCTTATGTGTCATTTATATAAAGCCACCATTTGTTGGTGGAAATAACTAAAACAATTGATAGATATTTCACATATTTTAGTATTCATCTGCAATAAGCTTTATCTTCTTTTTGCCTGACTTTCTGGTTTGGTTCGTAAGAGGTGCTGTACTGATATTTGGCTTGAAACTATAAAGTGACTGATTCATTTGGGATTTATTGTATATTTATATTGTATCCAAAGACCCCTAGGTTCCTGCTCTTAAGGAATCAGTGGTCTAGGAGAGAACAAAAGATGGGCTCAAATGGCAAAACAATCATTGTTTCTCACACTTCCCTTCCCCAAATTGAGGAATAGTTTTCTTAGCTTGTTTCCAGGCAATCATGGCAGAAGGAAAGCAACATGCTTTGTGTGTTGGCGTCATGAAGATGTCTGCAGAAGATATGTAAGTCTCACTTTAGGCTCCCTTAACTGAAATATGAGTGGTAGCTCAGGAAGTATCAGTTACAGGGGAAGTTTGATGGCATTCATACTGCATCTTTAAAATATCTAAGCAAAGTAGCTCATTTCTTACTTTTCGTAACACTTAAGAAGCCATTACAACTCGTTTTGTTGTTAGGGTTATATCCTTAAGCATTTTGAAATGAAACATGTGCTAAAACAGGTGTTTTATACCAATGTGTATGGTACTTTAGGATTTTCTCTTTACAATCTAGATTAAATTGGTGATAAGGGGTGTGTATTTCACTGCTAGCTTTAAAAACACACATATACAGCTGGGTGTAATAGCACATGACTGTAATACTAGCACTTGGGAGGTGGAGGCAGGGCATTGCAAGTTTGGGGTTACTTGAGACTACAAAGTGAGACTGTCTCAAAAACAATGATATAGTTCAGCACTATACACATTTTACATTCTGATCTGGTGATAGAAAAAAATGTAGCATGTTCCCAACCTATATAACCAAATTTCTACTAATTTTGCTTTGGGATTTAGTGTGTTGATATTTGTCTATTTTGTTGATATCATTCTGTTTGATTGCTTGATAGACTGCTAAAGTCAGTATTTTATTTATTTTCTGGGTTTGTTTTTCCCCCCCAAGACAGGGTTTCTTTGTGTTGCCTAAGCTGTCCTGGAACTCACTTTGTAGACCAGGCTGCTCTCATATTCACAGAGAACCACCTGCCTCTGTCTCCTAAGTTCTGGGATTAAAGGCATTTACCACCAACATCCTGCTATTTTTGGGTTTTTGAGACAGGGTCTCTTGTAGCCCATGTTGACCTTGAATTTACCATGCAGTTGAGGATAATCTTGTATTCCCGATCTGCCTTCAGTTCTGGGATTATGGGTGTGTGCTACCACACCCACCTTTAGAATCATTTTAAATATGAATTTCAAGAATGATTATGTGGCTCATTGGTGGAGTGCTTGTGTAGCATGCGTGAGGTCCTGGGTTTGATTCTGTAGTACCACAAAAACCAAATAGCCAACTAAAGGAAAAGTCAGATCAACCAAATCCCCAAACCCCACAAACTGCTACAGAGCACTGTAGTTTAATGTAGACAATAATGTTATAGCAATAAATTTCTTACATGTTGCTCAATGATTATAAAGTAGCAAGACACTTTGGATTTTGTTTCTCATGAATAAATAAGCCTATAAAATTCATAAAACCTGTTTATGTATTTTTTCTTTCTACAGCGAGAAAGTCAACAAAGGAATTGGCATTGAAAATATCCATTATTTAAATGATGGGCTGTGGCATATGAAGACATATAAATGAGCCTCAAAAGGAATGTGCTTGGGCTCAATATGGAGATTATGCTATATCTGTGTTTGTGACTGTGTGTGACCGCATGAATACAATGCCCGTGTGGCTTTGCTGAATAAATTTGACGGATGCTAAAATTCTGTTAGCTTCAAATTATTTTAACGTAAACATAAATTATGACTGGGTAGCAAACTTGGACATTAAAAGGTTATCTGGTAAGTAACTCAGCAGACAAGTCAATGTCCTATTTAGGTTAATGATATAAGATTGATAAATGTGTTTGCCAGTTTACGGTGGATACCTAGATAGTTTGTTTAGTTATGGGGCTGGAAGCTAGATTTGGAATTTTGTTCCATTAATCAGAGGCACCCAGCAGTGTTCCCTTGTTTGTGTGTGTGTTTGTTGTTGTTTTAAATTTCACTATAAAATGTTCCAAACATATTCTAAAATATGGATAATAGTATAATTATTAATAGTATAATTATTAATAGTATAATTAACTGCCTTCATCAGCCTGCTTCACTTTTTGACTAGTCTTCTTTAATTTATTCTTGTTTTCTTCCCTATTCCCCAGTGAAGCAAGTCTTAGCTCATTTCACCTGTAACTACTTTAATATGTTTCTTTAAAAAGATAGTCTTTAAAAAAATGATCACAATGCCCTGAAGATGCTTAAAAAGTTATTTTCTA